TAAAAATATTTTTTACATGGTAGCAGTGTGTGGGAATTAACAATATATCTTACAGGAACAATGAAAATATACCTGTGAATGTACATTCTTAAAAAAGAAAGTGAATTACACAATCTAGCTATGACGTAACAGAGAACAAAGACCAGGGCCCGCCATCATAAAACATACTTAAGTCTGAGAATGCTCTCAAGTCTGAGAATTTTCTCAAATCTAAAATTCTCAGCGGCTGTTATAAAAAAGTTGAGAAAAATAAAAATTCCAGAGACTCTGTTTTATTCTAAAATTCTCAGGTGAGTAATTCTCAAGACTTGAGTTGAGATTTTCTTTTGAGAATTCTCAAAGTTTTATGACGGCGAACTCAGGATAATGCGAACAGTGATGTTGACTTTGCTATAAAATGACACGGATGCTGGGGACTGTAACAACTCAAACACTAAGACTGTGAACAGTCTGCTGACTGGTTGGAAATAACCTACATGGTTTCACTGTTACAGTCAAAAAATGATAAAGTGCTTCACCATGTCACTGTCATAGTAAACAAGATAAAGCACTACACAATGCCATGATGATGACTGGACAAGACTACTGGGGCCAATTTCTCAAAAAGGCTTACAACCCTTAGCTGAGTCCGGAATAAATCAGTAACTACCCATTCCTTTCTGTTTGAGTTCTTTTCTTTTTGACATTAAGGGGGTCATCTGTGGTTTTCATTGCGCATCATAGTAAAATGAAGCGTATCTACTGTTTTAGTGCAACTTTTTTCGCTTAATTGATAAAATTAAACAAAATTAAGAAATTACAGGTTTAAAAAAATATTTACAATTTCATAAAACTGATTTTTTAACCGATTTTCAATTGATAAGTAGTTGACGTCGGTACTGTGTGCTTTTGACGTAATGGTAAACTGAAGCTTTCAAAGAAATGCGTGATGAAAATGTAATCAAATAAAAAGTATAATAACATACGCTTTTGAAATTCAAAACATAGAAATTTAAGAATATCTACATTATTTTCATTATGTATTCATTTAAATCCATTGCGCCCGTCATATTTGTAGCATTCTATAAAAACAGGAAATTTTGTTAATTTTTGGTATTTTGAGATGCCCCCTCTGGTAACAAGACGGTAGAATTTTGTGTTTCCTACACATTATGTGCAATATAGTATTAGTAATCAAATATTATAATCTGAACAAAAAGCCTATTATATAATTTGCTTTTAAAGTGCTAAAAATTGGCATTTTCCTATATAATCCTACAGTAAATGTACCTGTATTTTGAGACGGTCCCTAGAGAATATCTGGACTGTAGATTTCCCCCAAACTTTGGCATGTACACTGAAGTTAATGTAAGTTATAAATGGTATGAAAATGAAGAGTTTCGCTATAATAGTTTCCACACAATAAAACCAAAGTTGGCCCCCTTAAAACATGTCTTCTAGTTTCAAATTCAATTTACCAGACTGTAAGGGTATTTTTTCTTTCAGGTATCTGTCGATAAAGCGATGGTAGCTAGTCAATGTGTCTGGCTCATACTCTGACCCATCCGCCTTCCTTATGGATATTAGAATGACTCTAGGAAGTTGTCCAGTTCACTTTTCGGTATTCTGTTAATCCACGAGTTTCATTTCTAGGGCTCAGCTGCAGCCATGTAGTGAATTGTTTTACAGCAGACTGTGTTTTCCTGACAGTGTTCTTGTTTTTCATGTTTTCAATAAGATTTGATTTTTTTTTCTTCAGATATCTAAATAAAGGTTGGAGCATTTCTTTGTTCTTTGTTTTCCTTAGAATTTTCTACACCTACATTTTGCTTGATTTCTTCAGGCAGCATAGCAGAATTATATCCTTATTAAGAAAACCAGCCAAGTCCAAGTCAGAATTAATGGTGTTGTCAAGAAATTCAAAATCAGATAAAAAGTCTAAATCGCCCAATTCTGGTAATTCTGTCATTTTGCAGGTTTTACTGTGTGCAGTCATAAGAATGGTAAGATTTTGATATCCTTGTTTTTGTGAACAAGTAAAATACAGGTTAATTATTAAATAATCTTGTAAATTTGGTTCTTTCATTTTTATTTTCAATCAATTCATTATACATATATCAATTGCATAAGTATCTATGAAACGAACAAATATGGATTTGTTTACACTGAAATTAATTACTTCAGGCATTATTACCGTGAAAAAAGTAGTCCGCGCAAGATGTGTGTACTGCGTACTACGTCATCAGTTTCAGAGAGTGGTGATATGGATTCAGAAAACTACAGTGTGGTGATCCGGAAAGTCGGATCACGTTGTCACGTTATTACGTAAATTCAACAGAAAAATTAAGTGATACACATTAGGTAATTAATAAATACCAGAATCATGGAAAGCTTCACTAGAAATGCAGTTCAATAAATAATTACAAACACTGGATTTCCAGCTATGCTCAATATTGTTACAACACACAAATGTGATAATGCGGTAAAAACTCAAACTTTTTATCATGTTTATATGAGAAACAGATAAAAAAGAAATTTTGCTTATTAAAAAATATCTATGAGTAGGGAAATCATGACTTGTAAATGTCTTAAATATAGATAAAATCATTAAGAAAATTCTGCATCTATAAAACAAATATTATCTGGTTATATTCTTAATTGAAATTGTAAAGGAATCGCTAGATTTAAGAAAAAAAAATGGTTATGTTGTAATTTGTACCTCTCACGATCTAAATAAATATGATCCCGACTGGAAATATTGCAAATTATTATATCAATATCAATTTAATGCACAAGTCATCATTTTGTAAGTTCTATGGTCGATACAATGACCTTGTCAGCAAATACAATTTATCATTGAGTCAAATGCTGACTGACATTTTTCATACTATAATTGTTAGCCTATTATTTATATCGAATTGACGACGGATTTTCCGTTATTTCCTTATCATGACAAGCAGCACACGGCGGATGGGATCGGTCAAAAGGGGATTGTCACTCCTCCATGGCACCTGATCCCACCTCTGATGTTTCGGAGATCCGTGTTTGCTCTGCTCTTATTTTGTATTATTGGACCTTGATATTGAATACTGTTCGTTATCTCCATATCCTTCTGAAAAGTGCAATATCATAAAATACACATGTATCAGATTGAATCCCAATATGTCTTATTCAGTTAGAATCGATTATGATGATATTCTATTTAAAGACATTTTGGGTGTTCATGGAAAATCATCTTATATTGCTGTTCTATATGAGTTGGGACAGTTCCCACTATTTTATTTGTGTTTTGAAAATATGTATAAATTTTATTTAAGACTGAAAAACTGAGACGAAGAAAACTCTACAACAAAGATTGTCTTTATCTTCAATGGACATATCACATAAAACTTTAAAATATAAATTAGAGGAACACTATAGAAACAAAATCAGTGAACAATTAAAAAACATTTCTGAATCAAATTCTGGGAAAGTAACTTTATATAGTAATATAAATGATTTAAAGGAATATAAATTTCAAAGCTATCTAGAATTACCATTGAGAAAATCTGAAAGAACAATCCTAACAAAAGTAAGAATTAGTGCTCATACACTACATATTGAAATGGGGAGATACTCAAGGCCACCTATTCCTAGATAAAAATATGTATGTCATTTTTGTAATTTTTTTTATTGAAAATGAAAACCATTTTGTACTTTATTGCCCTAGTTATGATTATTGTATATTACAATATTACAATATATTTAATGCTCAATGTTACATGAAGGAAAACCCTATTATTGACATTATTAACCCTACAACGCAATGGTGCAAAAGGCTCGGCCCATCCACTTTTTTGCGTACAGTATTTTTGATATAATAAATTATTATTTAGATTCTGGTTGTCTCCCCTTGCCCTTCTTTTACATTTTTTGTCGCTGTAAGGTCGAACTCTGACAAATTCCATGATTTGAAAAATTAATTAGGTTTTTGACTTAAACAGTTAATGCATTCTAGTTTGTAGTTTAAGTTTTTTCACTAACTTTCAGTTTTTTTTTTGTTTTTTTTTTTTGGGGGGGGGTGCTCTCTTCCACTTTTTAAGCTGTAGCTACAAGCTTGTTTTAGTCCTTTGTCATTACCTTATGTATATTTATTTTAATGTAAAGCTTACCGCAAGTTGAAAGACAATCTGATTTATATTCAAAGGAAACTTTCAAACTTTCAAAACTTTCTAAAACGAGGTAAATTATTGACAAGCAAGTTGATGAAACAAGAATATCAGACGTCTGCTTTAAAGTCATTATTTCGTAAGTTCGATCGTCGATACAATGAGCTTGTCCGCAAATACAATTTTTAGTCAAATGCTGACTGACGTTTTTCATGCTAATTGTTGGTCCATTGTTTATACACTGAATTGACGACGGATTTTTCTGTTGTTTCCTGATCATGACAAGGAGCACACGGCGGGTATGACCGGTCGGCAGGGGATGCTCATCCTTCGTGGGAACTGATCCCACCTCTGATTTTTCGGAGGTCCGTGATTGCTCTGTTCCTATTTTGTATTGTTTTATGGACTATGAGATTGAATACTGTTCGTTATCTCCATATCCTTCTTTTAAAGGAAAAATCCCGCACATATTATGTTTCTTTGATGTAATTTGCATCTACATAGGTTTTAGATTAATTGAGAGAGAGAGGGAGAGTTTTCCTACAGACTTTTAAATTACTTATGTTACATCTTACGAGAGATAATTCAATTAACACTGAAAATCTCATGATACATACGACTTCTTTTGAATTAACTACTCAGGAAGAACATAGGAAATAGTGATTAGATATGGAATATAATCAACACAGTTTTCAATAAAAGAATGAGTGTATATCTAAAAATAATTTAAAATGTCTCCGCCCGCACAATAAACATACAACCCAACCCTCACATCTGCATGATATATCTTAATAAAGTATTATAATTTCATTTTGTTTATAACAAATTCATATTAAAGCTCTCAACTTTTCAGCGATAAACACTTATTTTTCTGAGTGCTACATGTATTGCTTGGATGATCAACGCCTAGTCGTGCACTATATAAACGGTGTCTTACCCATCAGAAACTTTCGCGAAAATGGGATCACTAAAATTACTTTGCTTAATGCTATCGATTTCCGTGTACAGAGCCTTTTGTCAGATACAGTTACCTGCAAAAGCATCTGGCGAATCTAATGTGTTACCCAGTACCGTATCAGGTAGAGCGTCCAACGCCCTACGTGACATTCTGAATCAGGAAAGCCTGGTCCGCTTCGCTATGGTGCAAAAAATACAAAGTGTGGTTATAGATGCCATAGACAATAAAAATGATAGGCAACTTATGAAGGCAAAGCTCAGTGTGATGACAAAGGACCTGAAGGATTTGGAAACAAAAAGTCAAAATATGGAGGCCGAAAACAACAAACTTAAAGAGGAATTAAAGGTGATGTATGGGAAAGTGAATGACAATAGGAACTTTACAAAGGACGTAATTCAAAATCTTGATCAGAAAATGAAAAGTAAGACTTCAGCTCTCCACGATGAAAATCTTAAACAAGCCTTGAAAAATTTGGCATATGAAAAACAGCTTGATTTGTTAAATAATACTATAAAACAAATGGAAAGAAGTGTTGGAAAAGACATAGAGACACTGAAATCATCGGACATGAGCACATTGGAGAGAATAAACACTCTGAATACTGTAAACCAACTTTTATTCGCGTGCGAGAATTTTTCGCGAGGTTCGCGAGAGCCTCGTCATCGCGAATATTTCTCGCCGCGAACGGGTCCTTCAAGTCTCTATTACTATTAAAATCAATTCCAGAAAAGCTTGATCGCGAAAATAAATCGTCGCAAACTAGTTTACTCTCGGTAAATCGCGAAATAAAGTCGTCGCGAATAAAAATTGGTTTACAGTAAGTCGCATGCAATAGAAGTAATCAAGAACTTCCAAAAAGTTAAAGAACTTGATGATAGCTTTCGAAATAAAAGTTTGGTTCTGGAAAACATTGATCGAGGACTGACTGAAGGAATTGAGGTTCTCCAAGACCAAATGAATGAAGTGAACGCGACATTACAGATTAGTGGCGTAGACGTACTTGCCAGACAAATTAAAAAGATGGAGGACACGTTCTCGAGTTTTGCAGTGACTGTGTCAGAAGGTACAGAATTATCTAAATTCTATATTAGTCAAAATTTCCAAGTCACCAGGCAGGTTTTTGCTTTACATCGCTCTTATATTGAATTATTTTAACAGTATAATTTAATAAGTTTACAGGATAAAAAGTAACAAAACATTTTTTTCTCACTTAATTATACCCGCACTTTCTAAAGAAAGTTCGGGTATATTGTTGTTACTCATGTCCGTCCGTCCGTCCGTCTGTCACACTTTTCTTCCCTGAACTCCTCCTACATTTTACACAGTAGCTTAATCATCTTTTGGGAGATGGTTGATGGTGTCATGTAGATGTGCAGTAAAGTTTTGGAATTTTGATTTTGCCCCAGGGGGTCAAATGGGGGTCGAAAAATGACGTTTTTTGTGCAAAAAGTCCCGTCTTCCCTGAACTCCTTCTTCATTTTACTCAGCAGCCTAATCACCTTTTGGGGGATGATTGGTGGTGTCATGTAGATGTGCAGTAAGGTTTCTGAATTTAGATTTTGCCCCGGGGGGGGTCAAATGGGGGTCGAAAAATGATGTTTTTTATGCAAAAAGCCCCATCTTCCCTGAACTCCTCTTACATTTTACTCAGCAGCCTAATCATCTTTTGGGGGATAATTGGTGGTGTCATGTAGATGTGCAGTAAGGTTTCGGAATTTTGATTTTGCCCCAGGGGGTCAAACGGGGGTCGAAAAATGATGTTTTTTATGCAAAAAGCCCCGTCTTCCCTGAACTCCTTCTACATTTTACACAGTACCCTAATCATCTTTTGGGAGATGGTTGGTGGTGTCAGGTAGATGTGCAGTAAGGTTTCGGAATTTTGATTTTGCCCCGGGGGATCAAATGGGGGTCGAAAAATGACGTTTTTTATACAAAAAGCCCCTTCTTCCCTGAACTCCTCCTACATTTTACACAGAAGCATAATCATCATTTGGGAGATGGTTGGTGGTGTCATGTAGATGTGCAGTAAGGTTTCGGAATTTTGATTTTGCCCTGGGGGGTCAAATGGGGGTCGAAAAATGATGTTTTTTTATGCTAAAAGCCCAGTCTTCTCTGAACTCCTCTTACATTTTACTCAGCAGCCTAATCACCTTTTGGGAGATGGTTGGTGGTGTCATGTACATCTGCAGTAAGGTTTCAGAATTTTGATTTTGCCCCGGGGGGTCAAATGGGGGTCAAAAAATGACGTTTTTTATGCAAAAAGCCCTGTCTTCCCTGAACTTCTCATACATTTTACACAGTAGCTTAATCATCTTTTGGAAGATGGTTGGTGGTGTCAGGTAGATGTGCAGTAAGGTTTCTGAATTTAGATTTTGCCCCGGGGGGTCAAATGGGGGTCGAAAAATAACGTTTTTTATGCAAAAAGCCCTGTTTTCCCTGAACTCCTCTTACATTTTAATCAGCAGCCTAATCATCTTTTGGGAGATGGTTGGCGGGGACATGTAGATGTGCAGTAAGGTTTCGGAATTTTGATTTTGCCCTGGGGGGTCAAATGGGGGTCGAAAAATGATGTTTTTTATGCTAAAAGCCCCGTCTTCTCTGAACTCCTCTTACATTTTACTCAGCAGCCTAATCACCTTTTGGGAGATGGTTGGTGGTGTCATGTAAATGTGCAGTAAGGTTTCGGAATTTTGATTTTGCCCCAGGGGGTCAAATGGGGGTCAAAAAATGACGTTTTTTGTGCAAAAAGCCCTGTCTTCCCTGAACTCTTCCTTAATGTTACTCAGAAGCCTAATCATCTTTTAGGAGAGTTAAATATTTTGAAAATTATGTAAAACATCAACGTCAAGGGGTAAAAAAAGCATTGCATGCTGGGAAACACCTTGAATTCTTATGAGTAATTAATGTACGAGGGCCGTTCAAAAATAACGCGGACTGTGCTATTATTTACTCTTACAAACGTCATAGAGTTATGAAATGTCACAGAAATATGTATCTCAAAGATTCCAATAAATTTTGGGCAAAATTCCTGTATTTCAAAAACATTCTACTAAAATTATCGGTATATTGATATCGCTGATGGAAAGGTACGGAGCACGACAAAAAATCTGAAGCAAAAGCATTTGGAATTCAAAATTTAACTCATTTATTTTCCATAATTCGCAATATTTTTCGACAATTTTCTCAAATATATCTTTAATTTGTTCTATTATTGTGTATTTGGATTTCTGGCGTGATATTTGACGTACTAACAGAAATAAAGCGATTTTCCTCTGATGCGATTCCCGTGAAAACGACTGTGAAAATGACGTCTCGTGAAATGACGGCGCACCACACTTTAGTCGAATTATGTGTAATGCTCGAGATATCGCCAACATAGATCCAAAATATGAATAATAAAACATGTAGTAAACTAGGGTATTCGTGACATTCGTCCACAAATAGCAAATAGGAATTTTAGACCATCAGACCTCTGAAAAATGGCTATACGGGTCACGGGAGGACGGGAAGAAGATTATCGACGAAAACTTGATCCGGACTGTAAAGAACGTGATTGAGAGTCACCAATATCACACTATATTTCATAAATACCTGCAGTTTTTTTGGTTTTAAAACAAAAAAAAGAATAGTCTTTACTTGTTTAATAGATTTAAACCTTGCCAAGAAATGGTGTTTGGATGTTGAGTAGATAAGATAACTCAAACTGTACAGGTTCTCTTGGGAAAATGTTGAGAAAATGAAAGCTCAATCACATATTTTTTAATGATGTCTGTGACGTCGAAGATATTGCTGCTCCGTGACTTAATGATATGTCCTGAAGAATCACTAAAAATTGATACCAATTTACAACATTTTGATATGAAATTTTGTAGACCATATAAGTGAAGATTTTTTTTACATTATGTGCGACATTTTGCCCGATTATGTCGTCAAATATTTTTTCTGTGCAGCAAGTCCGCGTAATTTTTGAACGGCCCTCGTACATGTCAAATTTGAGAGTCATATCTCATCTCAATCAAAAGTTATAAGCAAATGCAACATTTTTGAAAAGTTGGTTAGGCTTGACCGCTTCAAGGTCAAGATCACAGAGTAAAAGTCATGATTTATTTGGAAAGGTCTTATCACAGGTAATAATATACATGCATTATGATATGAATGCCCTAACTTTTCTCTTTCAAAATGATGAATTTATAACAATTTAATTTTTTTGCAAGTAGGTCAAACTTCTAGGTCACATGTAAAAAAAAAAACCCATGCCATTCTCACAGGTAAACACTAATACATAAGTTTAATATGAATGTCTCTTCTCATTCAGTAGATATGACCGTGATGACCAAGGTTAAATTTATTGAGACAGATGGACAGTCTGACATACAAATGTACATATTTCTATATGAATTGGGTAAAATTGGCGTAGTGGTTCTAGAGAAGTTAAAAATATAAAAAGTTTTCAGACAAACAGATGGACGACACGTCACGACAGACGTTATATGCTAAGGAAACCAGAAAAGCTCAAATGAGTGTTTTGAAAGGGTTACAATATGGTTGCAGTATTTGAAAAGCTGTTTTTTTCATGCAGAGATATGCATGACCAACATATTCATGTTTTATATTTTCTTTAGTAATTTGTTTGTTTGTTGTGAATACATCTCTCTTGGGAATTTTTCCCTCATATGGAGACACCACCAAATAATAAGGAAGACAAGATGTGTTTGTGAAACACTGATGTCCCTGTATGGAAGCCTATGGCGAAGGTTGAAGTTTCTCAAATATATGTCAAACTCAAAGGTCAAGGTCAAAGGGTTCAAATTGTTAGTATCAGAAGAAAGTCTTGTCACAAGGAATGCACATGTGAAATAAAGAAATCCCTAGTAATTCCTGTTCAAAAGTTAATTGCCAAGGTTAATTTTTTTTTTAAGTGGTTCAAACTCTAGGGTCAAGGTCAAACATATTTATACCTGTTGACAGTCCACAATGAATACACATGTTAAGCATGAAAGCCCTAGCACCTACTGATCAAAATTTAGGCCAAATTTAAAGTTTGGTATTTTTCTTGTAAAAATGTGTATCCTAGGTCAAGTGATCAGAGGTAAAAATTAATGGTACCCAAATAAAAGGTCTTTATTGTCACAAGAAATAAACCTATAAAATGTGGAAGCCATTTGTATAGCCCATCCCACTTAAAACTTATGGGCAAGGTTCTAATTTCTGCAGACAAATAGACAGACATAATATAAACACAAGAAACAAAATATGTATAATTAGTCAAATGGAAAAAAATATACTATTTAATTGGAATCACAAAATAGATTGTTATTTCAGGGACAGGGAGTGGGTAGGGAGATTGGAAATCCCCCATCCCCCCCCCCCCCGCCTGGAAGTTGCTTTGTTATTTAAACAAGACTATATACTGAAGCAAATAAAAAATGACTTTGGACATCCTCCCCCTAACTTAGAAAACATTGACCACACTATCATTGTTTTTATTTTGTTTATTTGTTTTCAGTTTTTTTTTCTCCTGCTTGCCAGGAAATTCTGGGCTGGAATTTTTTGACTGAGATGTGAACCCCCCTCCCTACTCCCGAAAAAAATTCTGGATCCGCACCAGTATTGGCAGTAACTGAATGTCACATCGACAACGGGAGATAACTTCACAATCTGAAATTCGTCTAGTGGAATGAGAGCACCAAATCCCCGGATGTACACATGGCTTTGTTTGTTATGGAACATTAAACAGGATACTGAATGGGTAGGCGTTACGCCATTTGCTGAAATCAGGTATGTAATTGTTTTCATTTTAAAGTAAAATTAATGACGTTTGAAATAAATGATGGGATGAGGGAATGTTACAGAAACTATAGAATTACCAGGGCAGATTTTAGGAGTGGGGGTTGATTTTTTATGTCGCGTGTTATTTACTGCGGATCTCTATAAGTTGAAAATAACTGCAATTTTGACCTATAAACGCCATGGGACCATATATTTTTTTCAGTATTTTTTGTTAGGGCTTAGAACGAAGTTTGAAATGATGCTAAGGATTTTTCTGAAATTGTCATAGTAAAGTACTGAGAGGGCCTAAGGTTTGTATAGAGTTCTATGGGAAAATAATTAGTAGTCTTTTCCCTATAGAAACCCCATTTTTGGAATGTCATGTGACTTAATTGATAAATATAGGTAATTTATTTTAACCAATCAATGAGTCTAAGTAAATTGAACAATATGGCAGACATTTTTGGGAAATTAAAAGAGAAACTGAATTCTAGAAGTGAAAAAGAGGGGGAGTGCAGATATTGGAGAGGGGGGACTGATAGATATGGATATGGGGTCATGCGGGAGCCTTGGCCAGAGGAGGGTAGTACTGTTGAGAAGGTGCACCGGGTTGCTCTTATGGTAGAGAAGAGGCTGACCAAGTCCCAGTTTGCAGCTGCAGGCCTGGAGGTCAGTCATCTCTGCCATAAGAAGCTGTGTATCAACCCGGTGCACCTTACTACGGAAAACCATGCCACGAACCAAGAACGCATGCACTGTGCTAACCAGGGATTTTGTTGTGGGGCCCACCACCCAAAGTGTATTTTTTAATGTAATTTTTCTTTTCAATAGAATTTTGATAAATAGGGAAAAAAACTAATCACTTGATTTAGAATAATTATGTTCAGGATGCTTTTTTTTATTGCCTCGGGCTCGAGATTCAGCTAATATCATGTTTTTTTTATATTTTACCTCTTCCTGATGTTTTTCATAAAGTTTGTAAATTTTCTTACGCTTAATAACCTTTTTGTTTTGTAGAATTGAGATTTTTCGTATGATTTGTTTAATTGATAATCTTTTTGAATTTTATCTAGGGTATGGTCAACCTGGCCACCAGTGGGGATGGGGGCACCAACCCCTGCACAGAGACCTCGGATGGAGCTGCCCGGACCGTAATTAGAAGAATGAGCTGCACTGTGCGCCCGACCAGGAAAGTTTCTTGTGAAAGTGACATTACGAGGGAGGGAGCGTCGCAGAGTTCTATTGAAGCTTTCGACCTTTTGTGAATTGGTATTTTTGATTGTCTTGTCCAAGACAGCTGGAGACAACCTCTTTGAGATGCAGGCATGGAGCCTTGCTTCGTTCTCGACGGAAGACGGTATTGTAAAACCTTGACCTAAATATGAACTCTTGCTAACCCAGTTATTACTAACTTTCCCTTTACACACCAGAGAGTGTTTTCTGCATAGTGCATGATCTCCCATGTAACATTTCACTATTGCATGTTTGGCATAAGAGAGCTTGTTTTTCATTTTATCTGCATCTCCTGCATATACTGCTTGGGCTTGATTTATCTCAGCCGTGCATCTGTCAACAGCATCAAGGGCAAAGTTATGAAAAGTTTGGTTTTTTTCTGCCATGGTTCTCTTTGGCATGACCTCTAACATTTTTTGATCTTTTTTAATTGCCTTTCTGATCGACTCGGACAAGTGTCGAGTGTCAATGTAGTGAACTGGTTTATTTTGTAGCAGACCGTCCTTGTAGAGGGAATCTGCAGCTCGACCGGCAGAGCTGTCCGGGTCAGTGGTTACCTCCCTTACTTCAAGGCCATCTTTGCAGAGGATTTCGCCATCCCCTCCCGAGCCCAAGTGAACTCATCCCCAATGGTATGGGACATTGGTAGATTTGCCCCACACACCCCACTCTTTTGAAATTTTGGTAAAACATCAAGGTCAAGGGGTAAAAAGTCATAGCATGTTGGGAAACATCTTGTTATGGATAATGTACACTTGAAATGTGAAAGTCGTATGTCTTCTCAATCAAAGGGAAATACAACATTATTAAAAAGTAAGTTAAACTTCAAGGTCAAGGTCACAGAGTCAAAAAGTCATGATACATTTGGAAAGGTCTTATCACAGGTAATATACATGCATGTACAATATGAATGCCCTTTCATTTATCTTTCAAAATGATCAATTTAAAACAATTAATTTGTTTATGACAGTAGGTCAAACTTCAAGGTCATGGGTAATAAAAATCATAGTGTATTTAGAATGGTATTGTCCCAGTTAAATACTAATACACATGTTTAATATAAAAGTCCTGTCTTTTCTCATTCAAAATATATGATCAAGGTTAAATTCATTGTGACAGATGGACAGACTGACAGACAAATGAGATTTAATGTCCCCTACCTTTAGCGAAAATGGGGGACAATAAATGTCCTTGCTGTTCTTGAGAAGAAGATTTATGTTGGAAAAAGTCCCCTGCATATTTACATGTACATGTAAATTGGTTGAAATTGGCCCAGTGGTTCTTAAGAAGTTAAGAATGTGAAAAGTTTGCAGACAAACAGATGGACGACAGAAAACAGTACATTTCAGAAAACAGTATGCTTGTAAATAGTTAATCAAGGTGCTTTGGGTAGCAAAATAAAGCTAAACTGGTATATCTAATTCATCTGCAGAGCTTAGTATATTTTAATATGCACAACCTTTTCAACTCTTATAATAATTATTTTTAAAATATTTATATCACCATGTCTGATTCAAGGGAGAACTAGAGATATGACCAGAAGTATATCTGTTGAATATAAAATATGTACATGTATACTGTGTTTTTTTAGTAATTTGTTTGTTTGTTGTGACAGCAACTGTTATGGCAGCTTTTGGCAAAGGTTGAAGTTTCTCAAATGTAAGTCAAACTCCAAGGTCAAGGTCAAAGGGTCAAAATTGTTGGTATCAAAGGGAAAGTCTTGTCACAAAGAATACACATGTGAAATAAGAGAGAAATCCCTAGTACTTCCTCACCTGTTCAAAAGTTATTGCCAAGGTTAAAGTTAAATTGGGTTCAACTCTAGGGTCAAGGTCAAAAATATTTATACCTGTTGAAAGTTCAATGATTACACATGTTAAGCATGAAAGTCCTAGCACCAACTGTTCAAAAATTAAATTAGGCCAAGTTTAAGGTATTTTTCTTGTAAAAAAAAAAGGGTCAAACTCCAAGGTCAAGAGATCAAAAGGTCAAAATTTGTGGTACCCATTAAAAGGTTTTGCCAAAAGGAATTTACCTATGAAATGTGGAAGCCATGTGTATAGCCCAATCCACTTAAAACTAAAATATGGGCAAGGTTAAAGTTTCTGTGGACAGACAAACAAACATAAACACAGGAAACAAAATATGTATATATAGTCAAATGGAAAAATTTTCTACTATTGTGGAGTCATAGGATCAATTGTCATTTCAGGTTACAGGGAGTCAGTGGCTAGGGAGATCAGACACGCCCTCCCCCCTTTGAATTTGCAGTTATTTAAATAAGACTATTTACTGGAGAGAATAAAAATGACTTTGGACATCCTCCCCCTTAGAAAACAGGGACCCCACCATCATTGTTTTTATTATTATTATTTATATTTGCTTCTCAGGAAATCTTGGGCTGGATTTTTTTTTTACTGAGGTGTGACATCCCCCCCCCCCCCATTCCGAAAAAAAATTCTGGATTTACGCCTGTAATAGTGTATATATACTGAGTGTCAGCAACGGGAGATAACTTGACAATGTGAAATTTGTCGACTGTGGCATGCGATGATCTTTGACCCTTTTTGAACTTCAACCTAACCATTTGTATTTAATTATTTTTATGCAATCTGTACTAAATCTTGTACTTACCGAATGTCATAGGTCCTGACAACGAATTCATGAAATATAATCAATATAATCCAATTAAAACACAAATGATTTTAACTGACCACACTGCATCGTCAGCATACATGTGCTTAATAATCTCATATTCAGCAAATCTTTGCTGATTCCGTCGCCTTCATTAGATGAAGTATGAATCGACCGAGGTGTGCCGAGTGGAGATATCTAAAAATATAATAATGGGTGACGCAAATCCAATGTGAATGTAGAAATTTTCAATAAGATGTTCACACGTAAAACTGTTTAGTTCAAACTATCATAATAAATGATGTTTTAACATAACTTTGCCATCTAGGTCTATTTTAAAAAATGTTTGAGAGAGAGAGAGTGTGTGTGTGTGATGGAGAGGGGGGGGAGGGGGAGATAGGCATTCACAAATTAATTGGGCTGTATTTTCAATGGGTTTCTTTCCTAAAATGATATTTTATGTGGTTGAGAAAGTAAATTTAAAAAGTTCCAAAATATGGGCAAAATATTTATCAGAATCTAATTAAGTAATTTACTTTATTAATTAAATTCTGTTATTTCAGACTGGTAATGAATTAAGTATACAAAATACATCTATGAGGCTCATAGATCATATGGTCACCTGAACATTTTATGCTCAATTTGACGAATACATGTACGGAGATAATTATAGAATTATTTTGACTTCTTCCTTGGAAATTCCAATATGAAGGAGTGTGTATTTAGAGGCAAACACCTTAGTGCGGGTATTACTGTCTCATGACAGCATCTAGTTATTTTTAGTAATCGTCGTAACAGATGAAGTTTCAATAAAATAATTTAACCTGTAAAGATTGAGAAACAAAGTAAAATTACATTCTAAAGAAAATAGCGTATGTGTGAACAAAAAAGAGTGGAGAACAAAGTTATTGTAGAAAAACATATAGTCCCATTTTTTTTATGTCCGACTATATATTTTCGAACGATAAGCTACCTTTTACAAAAGGGTGTGGCCTTATTCCAGAGTAATCTGCTTTTAAAGGGAAAATGTGACAGAGAATGCTCAACACCAACAACCACATTCTATCCGATAACTTCTATCGTTTGCGAAAGTTGTAGGAAATATTGAGTGTCATGCACCTTCTTAGATATTTAAATGGCTCGTACGTAGTGTCATGCAAATGTGTCATTAAGTTTTTTGTTGTACAATGTAGGAACACATTTTATTGACTTTTGATTTTTCTGCCAATGTCATATTTTTGCATGGAACAACCTTGTTATTTTAATTTTAAATTTACCAAAAATAAGAGACTGTCCTTTGATTTTTAAGTTTATTTTTGATATTCCTTCCCTGACTTTATCAATGTAAACTAGAGGCATTGTGAGCACTGAGCTCACGAAATGATATCCCGCCTCCCATATAATTATAACGCCAAAGTCCATGTTTTCTCGAAATAAGTGTCAGATCAAAATTAAACGTATGAACAATTTCAAAAACAAGGTAAATTATTGACAAACAAGTTAATGAAACAAGACTAACAGCAGACTCGTTTAAAGTCATCATTTCGTAAGTTCTATTGTCGATACAATGACCTTGTCAGCAAATACAATTTATTATTGAGTCAAATGCTGACCTACGTTTTTCATACTAATTGTTAGTACATTATTTATACACTGAATTGACGACGGAAGGAGCACATGGCGGATGATCGACAGGAGATACTCACTCCTCCATGGCACCTGATCCCACCTCTGATGTTTTGGAGGTCCGTGTTTGCTCTGCTCCTATTTTGTATTGTTTTATGGACTTTGATATTGAATACTGATCGTTATCTCCATATCCTTCATCGGAGGTCACAATGGCATATTGTAATAAAGAATCTGTGAAAGTATCACAATATTTTATTTAGTGGTATAGGAGGAGTTATGGATGAGAGATTGGTACCCTTCAATATTATAGAAAGAATTTCAATGTTTTGCAATGTGATAACTAAATGATAGGTCCGATCAAAAGTAAAATAAGATCAAAAAGTAAGATAAATGTGCATAATTGCACTATGTAACAAAGATTCTGTGAAAGTTTCTAAAAGGAATGTGTTCCATTACTGAATCATTTTAAGGTACTAGGAAGATATAAACAACAAAAGGAACAAATGCTGCACTTACATAGGAAACTTAAAAGTTTATGCCGGAAAAACTCAATCTTTCATGTCAAAAATTTTTCTTCCTGTTATACATGATTTTCTTTCTGTAAATTCTATATTGAATCCTTGTGATTTCTTAAATACCATCCATTGAATGCTTAAGCATAGTTTTGTACCATTTCTGGATATCTTTTTCAATCCAAGTTTGATTTTTAAATTCAATGCCGTCTTTGTTATAAATTATAATACATGCAACTTTAATCATTCTAGTATAGAGGCCTTTCAACTTATTTTCCAAGTTCGTCATATGGTAGAAAATATTTCATAGATAGATTTATATGTACATGAAATTATCAAATAAGATAATAACTTAAGCATACCTTTAATTAAACCATTAAAAAGTTTAATTATTTGAAGTTGACTACTACGTTGTTGTGTTTTAAGGACAGGTAACTCAAGTGTGAAAAATGACCAACTAAGTGCCGATTTGTGAGTTATCGTTAACGTTTATAGGAATGACATATAGGCTGCTTCAGCTTCGGTATTGTTAAGTACACAAATGGGTTCCTTACATGGCTTTGTACACAAAAGTATTGACCAAAAGAAATCAAAAGACCAAAACTCCACCTGAAATAATAGGGTCAAAGGAATGGAGAACACACTACATGTATATTCAAATTTTTAACTCTCTTTGACGATTGTTATGAAGAAGAAAATAGTAATATCATGTTTTGTCTGCGTGCTCTATTTTGTATAATTCCTGATTTTTACATGAAATGTTGTCTACTTCGTTATGAAACATACATATTAAACATTGTGGTACAGGACTGGGATCATATAGGACATTAAAAAAACTTTTATTAACGCATTTTCTAATCTAGTAAAGTCGGAGAAAACTATTCCAA